TTGTTCTCCGTTGCTTTGCAAAATATTGTTGGAAGTTTGTTTCTTCAGGGGCACATAAACAGACCCAGTTAGTAAATGACTGCGGGGGAAATATTAATGCCGAAAATGCGCTCCAACTGGTAGTAGGCTTCTGACTTGTATTTTCTTGGAAGTGAGTGTTTCCTCTTACTTGCGCTACCTAGAAGGTTGGAAAGTTGCAAGGAGAGGGGATACACTTTGATGCACCAGAAAGCAGGAGACAAACACTAAATTTTAATTGCTATTAAAACAGTGAAATTGAGCAGTGGTGTTGGTGTGAGTGGGACATGTGGATGCTATACCTTTTTTTTTTCCCCTCTTTCTTTTTCTCCCCCTTTAGGAGGGCTTTCGAGCTGCCGCTCTGCTGCTGAACAGCATGCAGTCCTTTCGGGAGCAAAGTAGTTACCACGGAAACCAGCAGAGCTACCCGCAGGAAGTGCACGGTTCATCCCGACTGGAAGAGTTCAGCCCACGCCAGCAGGCCCAGATGTTCCAGAGCTTCGGAGGAGGCACTGGCAGTGGACGTCGTGGAGCAACAGGAGCCCCTACAGCAATGCCTGGTGAGAGCTCTGGCCATCAGAGCTACCAAGGTTTCAGAAAAGAAGCAGGAGAGTTTTACTATATGGCTGCCAACAAAGATCCAGTGGCATCAGGAGGGCAGCAGCCACCTCAGCGCAGGCCTTCTGGACCAGTACAGAGCTATGGGCCCCCTCAGGGGAGTAGCTTTGGGAGTCAGTATGGAAGTGAGGGACACGTGGGCCAGTTTCAAACGCAGCACTCGAGCCTTGGGGGTGTATCTCACTATCAACAGGATTATACTGGTCCTTTTTCTCCAGGGAGTGCCCAGTATCAGCAGCAGGCTTCTAGCCAGCAGCAGCAGGTGCAGCAGCTGAGACAGCAGATCTATCAATCTCATCAGCCTTTACCCCAGGCTTCCAGCCAGTCTGCTTCTAGCACCTCACACTTGCAGCCAATGCAGCGTCCATCTACCCTGCCTTCCTCTGCTTCTGGGTACCAGTTACGAGTGGGTCAGTTCAGCCAACACTATCAGCCGCCTTCATCATCATCCTCCTCCTCTTTCCCCTCCCCGCAGCGTTTTGGCCAGTCAGGACAGAATTATGATGGAAGCTACAGCGTGAATTCTGGGTCGCAGTATGAAGGCCACGCTGTGGGTTCCAATGCACAGGCATATGGGACCCAGTCAAACTACAGCTTTCAGACTCAACCAATGAAAAGCTTTGAGCAGTCTAAGCTGCCCCAAAGTGGGCAGCAGGGGCAGCAGCAACAGCACCCACCTCAGCACGTAATGCAGTATTCAAATGCTGCCACCAAGCTCTCTCTTCAAAGTCAAGTGGGACAGTACAGCCAGACTGAAGTTCCTGTAAGGTCACCGATGCAGTTCCACCAAAACTTCAGTCCAATCTCTAATCCATCTCCTGCTGCATCTGTGGTTCAGTCTCCAAGTTGCAGCTCTACCCCTTCTCCACTCATGCCAGGTGGAGAAAATCTCCAGTGTGGGCAAGGCAACATGTCCATGGGTTCTAGAAACCGAATCCTGCAGATGATGCCTCAGCTTAGTCCTACGCCATCTATGATGCCAAGCCCCAATGCTCACGCAGGGGGATTCAAGGGTTTTGGGCTCGAAGGACTGCAGGAAAAAAGGCTCACAGATCCAGGGCTGAGCAGCCTGAGTGCTCTAAGTTCTCAAGTGGCCAATCTGCCCAACACAGTCCAGCACATGTTGCTCTCGGATGCCTTGGCACCTCAGAAAAAAAGTTCCAAAAGGTCGTCATCTTCAAAGAAGGCTGACAGCTGCACCAACTCAGAAGGCTCCTCCCAGGCAGAGGAGCAACTCAAGTCTCCCCTGGCAGAGTCCCTTGATGGTGGCTGTTCCAGTAGTTCAGAGGATCATGGGGAAAGGGTGAGACAGCTGAGTGGCCAGAGCACCAGCTCAGACACCACTTACAAAGGGGGCAACTTAGAGAGATCCAACTCCTCACCAGCACAAGGCTCTCAGAATGAGCCATCAAAACTCAGCAGCAGCCCTGCAGCTAGGGAAGATGTGGCCTCCCCTGATGGGAAGGAAGCTGTGGTGACTGTGGAAAATGCCCCAAAAGTGAATGAAAAGGCAGTTGGGGTCATTGTCTCCCGGGAAGCTATGACAGGAAGAGTAGAAAAGTCAGGTGGACAAGATAAACCTGCACAAGATGATGCTTCCACAGCCACTCAGGCACCAGCTAGCACTAGTGGAGGGAAAGAAGCTGGGCATGCAGGGACACAGCCAGAAACTCAAGGAGGAAGTAAAGGGAGCAAAAGTGGAGATAACACTAACCATAATGGAGAGGGGAACAGCCAGCCTGGTCATGCAGTTGTTGGGCCAAATTTTCCTGCAAGAACAGAACCTTCCAAATCTCCTGGCAGTTTAAGATACAGTTACAAGGATAATATAGCAGCTGGTATACAGAGAAATATTGGTGGCTTTCCACAGTATCCTTCTGGTCAAGAAAAAGGGGATTTTCCAGGGCACAGTGAGCGCAAAGGCAGGAATGAGAAGTTTCCTAGCCTCCTACAGGAGGTCTTACAGGGGTACCACCATCATCCAGACAGAAGGTATTCTAGGAACGCACAGGAGCATTCTGGGATGGCTGGGAATTTGGAGGGAGCCATGAGGCCCAATATCTTAATTAGTCAAGCCAATGAATTGACCAATAGAGGCCTCTTAAATAAAAGCATGGGGTCTCTCCTGGAGGGCCCTCACTGGGGTCCCTGGGATAGGAAGTCTAGCAGCGCAGCTTCTGACATGAAGCAAATAAATCTAGCTGATTACCCTATTGCTAGAAAGTTTGATGTGGAGTCTCAGTCTTCTGCTCACGAAGGGGGAGCACTCTCAGAGAGGAGATCAGTGATCTGTGACATATCTCCATTAAGGCAACTTGTCAGAGATCCTGGCCCTCACCCAATGGGGCACATGGGTCCTGAGGCCAGAAGTGGAAGGAGTGAACGTCTTGCCCCTGGCTTGAGCCAGTCAGTAATACTCCCTGGTGGTTTAGTATCCATGGAAACAAAGATGAAAGCTCACAGTGGGCAAATAAAAGAAGAAGATTTTGAACAGTCGAAGAGCTCAGCTAGTCTCAATAATAAAAAAACAGGAGACCATTGTCATCCCGCTGGCATCAAGCATGAGTCTTTCCGAGGCAACGCTAGCCCTGGAGCTGCAGTCTCTGATGCTGCTCCAGACTACATTTCCCAGCAGGACAGCAGATCGACACAGATGAGACGAGCACCTGGCAGAACTGGAAGCAGCAGGGGTAAATCACCTTCTCAATTTCAGGATCTTGCTGATAAGCTGAAAATGTCGCCGGGCAGAAGCAGAGGCCCAGGGGCAGATCTGCATCACATGAACCCACACATGACACTATCGGAAAGAGTTAACAGGGGTTCCTTGCATTCTGCTTACCCTCAGAATTCAGAAGGTCCATCTTTGGCTTCAGCGTATCACACAAATGCTAGGCCTCATGCTTTCGGTGACCCTAACCAGAGTTTAAATTCCCAGTATCATTACAAGAGACAGATATACCAGCAACAGCAAGAAGAATACAAAGATTGGGCAAGCAGCACTGCTCAGGGTGTGATTGCTGCAGCTCAGCACAGGCAGGAAGGAGCAAGGAAGAGCCCAAGACAACAGCAGTTTCTGGAAAGAGTAAGGAGTCCCTTAAAAAATGACAAGGATGGAATGATGTACCTTCAAGGTAGCTCTTATCATGATACTGGAAGCCAGGAAGCTGGGCGCTGCGTTATGGGGAGTGACAGTACTCAGAGCAAATGCACCGAACTAAAACATGGCAACCAGAAGTTGCAGCATCACGAATCTGGTTGGGACCTCTCTCGGCAAACTTCTCCTGCCAAAAGCAGTGGCCCTCTCGGAGCAGCCAACCAAAAAAGATTTTGCCCTCAAGAAAGTGATGGGCATCGGCGAGAGGAATCTACAGATTTGCCCAAGCCTAGTAATGCCATGCTCAGGCTCCCTGGCCAGGAAGACCAGTCTCCTCAAAATCCATTAATTATGAGGAGGAGAGTCCGTTCTTTCATCTCTCCTATCCCTACCAAAAGACAGCCACAGGATATGAAGAACAGTGGCAGTGAAGATAAAGGGCGACTGATGACTTCAGCAAAAGAAGGAGCTGATAAAACGTACAACTCCTATGCCCATTCATCTCAAAGCCAAGATGTTGGCAAGTCAGTTGCAAAGGGAGATTCCTTCAAGGACCTGCCAAGTCCTGATAATAGGAATTGCCCTGCTGTTTCCCTCACAAGCCCGGCTAAGACCAAAATATTGCCCCCAAGAAAGGGGCGAGGATTAAAACTGGAAGCTATTGTTCAAAAAATTACATCTCCCAATATTAGGAGAAGTGTTTCTACCAACAGTGCTGAAACTGGCGCGGATACTGTCACTCTTGATGACATCCTGTCCCTTAAGAGTGGACCTGAAGGAGGAAATGTGGCTGGACATGGACCAGAGGCTGAGAAGAGAAAAGGAGAGATGTCAGATCAAGTGGGGCCAGCAAGCCAGGATACAGCTGTTGAAATAACTCTTCCAAGATCTTCAGAAGAGTGGCAAAGCAGTGAGGATGATAAAACCAAGAAAGAGGTCCCTGAAACTGCCAGTCTTGGTAAAGAAGGAGCAGGATCTATTGCAGCACCACCACCTTCTCAGAAGTCAGGTAGTCAAGGAAGGTCTGATGGATCTGTAAGCGGAGCTGGAACTCTGACCTTTTCCGACTCTAAAACAATTTCCCCTTCCAGTGTGTTTACTTCTGAACCAAATCTGAAGTCTGAGGAAAAAGATGGAGATGTGACAAACATTTCACCCAAGCCAGATGGTTTCCCTCCAAAGGGATATTTTCCCTCTGGAAAGAAAAAGGGGAGGCCAATTGGGAGTGTCAACAAGCAGAAGAAGCAGCAGCAGCAACAGCAGCAACTGCCACCGCCCCCGCCACCCCCACCAGTACCTTCACAGTCTTCAGAAGGGGTAGGTGGTGGTGAGCCAAAACCGAAGAGGCAAAGGAGGGAGAGGCGAAAACCTGCAGCACAGCCACGGAAGCGGAAGCCTAGACGGGCTGCTCCGATTGTGGAGCCTCAAGAACCAGAGATCAAACTTAAATATGCTACCCAGTCTGTAGATAAAACTGACTCCAAGAATAAGTCCTTTTTCCCTTATATTCATGTGGTAAACAAGTGTGAATTAGGCGCTGTGTGCACAATCATTAATGCGGAGGAAGAGGAGCAGAACAAATTGGTGAGGGGTCGGAAAGGACAGAGGTCTTCAACCCCCCCTCCTAGCAATGCGGAGAGCAAAGTGCTGCCCACCTCAACTTTCATGCTGCAGGGCCCTGTAGTAACAGAGTCTTCTGTCTTAGGGCATCTGGTTTGCTGCCTGTGTGGCAAATGGGCCAGCTATCGTAACATGGGTGACCTCTTTGGTCCTTTCTACCCCCAGGATTACGCAGCCACCTTGCCCAAGAACCCACCTCCAAAGAGGGCTACAGAAATGCAGAGCAAGGTCAAGGTACGGCACAAAAGCGCTTCTAATGGTTCCAAGACAGATACAGAAGAGGAAGAGGAACAGCAACAACAGAAGGAACAAAGAAGCCTAGCTGCTCATCCCCGCTTTAAGAGGCGGCACCGCTCTGAGGACTGTAGCGGAGCCTCTCGGTCACTTTCAAGGGGAGCTTCTTGTAAAAAAGTAACCACTGACGGTGGCAGTGGTGGTGAAAAGACTCCTTTGGACTCAAAACCCTCTATGCCCACTTCAGAAGGTGGCACTGAGCTGGAGTTACAAATTCCTGAACTACCTCTTGACAGCAATGAATTTTGGGTCCATGAGGGTTGTATTCTCTGGGCCAATGGGATCTACCTGGTCTGTGGCAGGCTCTATGGGCTGCAGGAAGCTGTGGAGATCGCAAGAGAGATGGTGAGTACCTAACCTTGCTATGCAAAATTATTTGTTTTCATTTGCAATATGTATACCATTTGGAATACCATTTTCCCTTGTTCTTCTCTCATGTCTTAAGCTATCATCTTTCATCTTAAGTAAATCTCTAGTGATGTCCTTTTGATGGCCTCGTTTAGATCTCTGCCACATTTGATCAGACAGATTTTTCAGGCATCAAAAAGCTGGATGCTCATTACCTACTTTTAAGTTCTGGATGTCCAAAGGCCTTCTCATGACTACAGTGATCTGTTTTTCTCCTCCTTATTCTATCCTGGTAGATATTTAATATTCTCTAGGGCTCTTCTTGGAGTCATACAGTGAAAGGACAAGTGGCAGCAGACACAAATTGCAACAAAGAAAATTCCAATTCAATATTTAAGCAAAAAATTTCACAGTGAAGGTGGTCAAACATTGGATTGAGGGATGGGGAATGACAGAGAAGCTGTGGAATGTCTGTTCTTGGAGATGCACACATGTGACTGGGCAAGGCCCTAAGCAACCCGCTTTACCTCTGAAGTTGGATCTAGCTTCAAAGTTGGCTCTGCTTTCAGCAGGGGTCCCTTCCAACCTAAGCCATTCTGTGACTGTAATACATGCTGCACAACTGTAGGAGAACTTGCAGTCCTTACAAAATAAGGTGGATAGAGCAGAATTGCACAGAGACCTGTAAGCTTTAAGTGAAACATGGATGGGTTTAGTATTGATGAATTCAATACGAATTATGCCACAAACCATACTGATAATTGGCTTTCTCCAAAGTGCGAGTAGAGAATGAGTGAGAAGAAATACATTAAACTAAAGCAGGGACAAAGGGAGAACTTTATTCATAACCACCTGGTTGTGGATGGAGACACTCGCTCTTGATTTTCTAAGACATAAGCTGACACTTTAAAACCACGGTTATGTGGCTTTCTTTGCTGTCACTGGTGTGCTGCATCCCTTTAGTTATGGTTACCTTTTGCATTATGCTTTCTGTCCTGGGCCAGTCCATGGAAGAGGCACTAGACTACTTTTTCCTGTTGCCTTCAGATTCTTCCTGTTCTAAACAGTGTTGGGATCCAGTTTTTATCTTTTCTTCACTCTGTGTTGTTACATACAGTGTTCTCATTTCCTCCCCATGAGCTTTTCTCTTCAGGTTTGATTCCTGGCTTGTTCAGCATTTTCACTCGCTGTTCTTTGACAGTAATTACATGCTGCTTTGCCCTAACTTGATTTGGCCTGCATTCTTGTTTCTAGCCTCTCATTAAACAAAGTCAGTTAATTTCATTTGGTTTTCATCGAACCGTGCCAGCATGCTTGTTCTGATGCAACTGCTGAATTTCTTATCTCTGATAATTGCAAGGTTCTTTCGGGATCTCCACCACCATTTGGATTCTACTTGCAATGTGGCCATGCCTTCATATGTCTTGTAGTTCACCAGTATTTTGAATTTGGATAGCTCCAGCCTGATTTTCCTGTTTTCAGGGTGCGTCTTTCATTTATGATTGTTGTTCTCCCAATAGCAAATGCCTTCTCTGCAAGTTCTCGAACCGCTTGAGTTGTCCTCCAGCTGTCCTTTTTGTGTTCCTGTACCTGCAAAGGCGGGGGGTATGCTTGGCAGAAACATGCTACCCTAATAGGCTCTAATCAAACTTGACAAAGTAGCCCATTACCCACAATATTTTTGTATGGGTTTTGCATGCTGTTTGACATCTAGTTCTTTCTCTGCATGGGAGCTTGATAACTCTGACTGAGTACACTTTGGCCTACCCTTTATCACTTTCTTCCAACTGTTATGATCATCTTGTCACAAATAGGAATTTTTTTTCCCTCCTCTTCTTAACCCTTTCATCTGCCCTTATGGCACCATACAAGAACATCTCCTTATCTCCCTTGAACCTTGTGTCCTTTCTCTCTGCCTCTTTCCTTTAATCACTTACTCATAGTACCTGTAGACACGGGTGTTTCCCTTTTTTTTTTTTTTTTTTTTTTTTTAAAAAAGGGGTGAAAAAGTAATTGCTAGTAAGAAGACTATTTGCTCTTTCCTCCTTTTGCAGTTTCTCCTGCCCCCTTGCTCCCAATACTGCATATATCAGATGTGAGTCGCCAGCTCTGGCGATCACTTCTGGGCCTGACTGCATGTGCTAGAAAGCACCACAACCATGTGGCAGCCCGGCAAATGCCGGTTCACTGGTTGATCTTTCCTTTAAACCCTTTCCCAAAGTTCCCTGAGACCCGGGGTTTTCCCTTTTTTTTTTTTTTTTTTTTTTTTAAAAAAGGAGTGTACAAAATGCCTGTGGCCTCTCTTGCCTTTGCAACTACCTCTTAATTTCCTTTCCATTTTTTCATCTCAAAATTCTTTGAGTGCATTCTCTGGGGCTCTTGTCCTCCACTGTGGCTTTGATTGTGCTCGACTACAATTGTAATGAGTGTTTACAGTGGGCTCTTCCTAGCTAAGGTTCAGATCCAGTACTTCATTTTCCTTTCCCTGTCAGCTACATTTGTCACTATCAGCTGTGCTGCTCTTGAAGTGTTGTTCCACCGTTTCCTGTCTGTGTCCTCTTTTGATTACCTCTTTTCTTTCCACTATTTTTTGCAGAGGCTGTTGTTCATTACTCCCAGCTTTTGTGTGGGGTTCACTGAAGTTCTGCTTGTGCTTTCCTTCCCTTTATCCTGGAATACCATGCCTTTGGGTAGCTTTTGGTAACCTGGTCACATTTTTCCAGAGTCTTGTAAAGTTTTTTTTTTTTGCTCCTGGTTCATGTTCTTCTGCCACAAACTTAAAAGTTGTTCTTGAATTCATGGTGAGTTCTCAGACTCTCAATTCAAAATGTGGCTTTTAATCTATTTCATCCTTAATCCGTCGTCTGCCTTGTTCTGATTTTCTTGTCACTCAGATTCACAGTCTCCTCATTTGATTTTAAAATTATTTCTTCCTGATCATTCCTATTTAAGGCTGTAAGAAATACTCCTTACTTTCTGTGTACGAGAAGTAATATTGTAGCCTTTCGGTGCTCTCCACTGTTTTGTCTGGGTCCATTTTTAATCTAGTTATAAGACTCTCAACTTTCAGGGGCAGGGACCATTTTCTTGTGTGCGCTTTGTTTTGTTAAGTCTTACAGAAACACAGTAACAGGTGTCCTAGCTGAATGCTGAGCTCTTCTGCATTACATCCATAAGAGTAATCCATCTTTTCTCTTTCACCTCTCACAAATAATGGCATAGGTTTTCTCCTAGTATTATTTTTTCCTTAACCTTTTTATCCTATTGTAGCAAATTGTAGTGCTGTATTCTTCTCTGGAAGCAGTATATCCTCCCCGCTTCAGTTATGAGAGGGTTACATGCAACACGAAGATGATAGTCAGGGTATTCAGAGGTGTACCTGCCAGAAGCCATCCCCAGGCAGTGGAAAGGCTCTGTTGAACTAGACTCTTTTGCCCCACTGCCTGAGGATAGCCTTCTGGCTCAGACAGCTGATTTCCCATGCTTGTTGCATATGCTCGCTCTTTACCTCTTCCTTGCTTTGCAAGTGCATTTTCTTTTTGTTCCCTCTGACGTGCAGTTCATCTGTGTTAGTGTCCTGGAAAAGCAGATGTGCAAACCATGGAGCTGCTTGCTAGCAGGAGAGAGTAGACAGATGTATGCACAAGCATACAGGAATATGGTCTTAAATATGGTCTAGGGTAAGGAAAGACATTAGTTTACGGCAGATGAAAGGTCATGAGCCTGGAAGTGAATAATTCATGTCTGTAACACATTCGGTGCAAATGAAATACTGCCGTAATTCAAAATCTAGCTAAACTGTTTGCAATACCCACAGAGGGTAAATGTGCACCGAATTTAAACTGAATCCATACCATTAAGCGAGTTGAAATATTTTCTTTAGAGATCTGGCTCTATTGTTGCTTATGCAGCATCCTAGTATAGAAATAAGAAACTTAAACTTCTAGTCAAACACTATAAACCATCGAACCATGATGCAGAGGTAGTGGCATAAGTAACCTGCCCTGCATTTCTTCTTCTCACACACTCACCTGTTTTTTCTCACATGGAAGCTTATTATAGATTCACCCCTCCCACCACCCCCCAACCACCTCTGTTTCTTGTTTGCCTTCCAGAATCAGGAAGGAATTTGAAGCATTTTTCTTGCTATGTTAAGTTTTCTGTTCCTTATATGAATAAATGTCTGTGTCTTATTGCAGTTTTTTGAGAACAGCCCCATAGCCAATCTCAGGGAAGGCTTAGAATGTATGTGAGGTTGCTCAAAGATCAACTTGTACCAGATGCTCTAGAAGAATTTGAGATGAGAAGGTATTATCTTGAAAAGGTTTATCACAATGTGAAGTGACTCTCATGAGCTTTTCTTAAAGTTTGATTTCACCCTAGACTGAAAACAGTGTGAATGTATTATCTTCTAAGTGTCAATCCAGCTGGTCTCCAAAGTGCTAGAATCTGTGTTTCTCGAAGGCAAAAAGGTGTTCCTCTTTCTCTGGCCACTCTAGAGGGCTTCTTGGTTCTGAGAATGTGAATAGCTGATCAGATGAATTGGGCTGCTTCAGATGCAGAATGGCTTAGTCCTTCTCCTTATTTTGAAGTTCCAAGTAGATACCCCAGCAGATGGACCTACCTGCCAAGTAGTGGGTCTTTCTCTCTTAAACTGCTTGTTAAACCATAGTGAGGGTGCTAACTGGCCTTCCTGCAGGTTTTTTTGGACATTTTTTGTTCCAAGGCTAATGAAATCTTGAACTGAAAAAATGCCATCTCCCTGGTGCTGGATGATCCTGTTGCTGATAGAATGCTTTCTTTCAAATGTCGAAGGTGGCCATGTTTTGGACTAAGTAAAGCAGATTGTAAGTGATTTGGCAAAAGATCTTTGCCTTATGATACTAGGAATCTTACAGCAGGTATTCCTGCAGCACGTTTGAAAATATATCCATATTCTTCCTCTGGAAATTTTTTTGTCTCTCTTCTTACAGTCATGTCAACCATTTCTTTGCATT